GGCTGGCCCAGCCCTGCCAGCCCATGCAGTGCCAGCTGTGCCCCATGGGCACCTTGTCCCCAGCCCAGAGCACTCAGTGCCACCTGCAGGGGACACCTGCAGGGCTGGGCACTGCAAAGCTCCCTGGGCAGCCCCTAAACACCAGGATGGCCTTTGAGCTCCCTCCCTCCCCAGCTGGCCGGCAGCTCATGAACCACACCTCCCTGGAGGGTACCTCAGCTGCCCTGGGCTGTCCCCAGACTCCCACCCATCCCTCCAGCCCCTGCCCCAAGGAGGAGAGAGCTCCCACAAGGAATTATGTGTACCAACACACTCAGGCAGCCCATGAGCCAAGCACCAGCTGAGTAGGCCACAGAAACACAAAGTGCTTCTCCTTCTCACTCCTCGTGGGATGAGGCTCTGCTCCAGGCCCACCAGAGCATCCCAGACCCTGCAGCTGCACCACAAGGGATGTCAGGGGGCTCCTTCCTCACACATTTTCTGCTCCATGCCCTCCTGAGAGCAAAGGGTGGAAAGGACAGAGGGATTGCTGCCTTCCCCATGGGTGTGTGTATCCCTGCCCCACGGTGGGAAAGGACAATCCAAAGCCCGGTTTGGGGCAGGAGCTGCAGCCCCAGCAGTGCCCCAGCAGCTCCCCCTGCACCCTCCTGCAGGCAGGGACCACCCCAGGGGCACAGCAGACACGGAGGCAGCTGCTTTCCAAGGCAGCAAATAAATAAATCTAACAAGAAATTAAATTAAGAGCCTCTCTCTGATCCAGCTGAGCATTACTCCAAGTTTCTGGGCCAAGCAGGGAAGGGAATGAGCTGGAGGGAGCCAGGAGCTCCCCAGCAGCCCCAGCACTGCCCAGCTCCTCCTCCTTCTCCACATGAGGCCACTTTGCTGCCAAAACACGATTTTTCCAGCTCTCAGAATGGCAATTCCTCGAGATGAGTTCCATTCCCGAAGGAAGCCGAGGCTGTGCTTCCAGCTGAGCTGGGGAAGAACATGGACTTTTCCCTGGCAGAGCCTCCAAGTGTTCCCATAACTGCTTCATCTCCCTCACCCAACCCAAAGCTGCTGCTCACAGGTGCAATTTCTACTCAGGGAACCCCTGGAAGGACTGAATTTAACAGCAACATCTCCTTTACAAGGCATTTGATCAAAGGAAGGAGAGCAAAGCGGGTCGCTGTGCCCCATGAACTGCCCCAGGTGTGTGGAAGGACAGACCCAGCCTGTCCCACCCTGCAGGACAAGGCATCACTGAGCTCCTCACAGCTCCACTGAGGCCTCCTCCTGCTCACAGGACAAAAGCCCTCACGCTGGTTTCCAGCCCAAACCCAGCACTTCCCAAGGCAGAGGTTTTGCAGCAAAGGATTCACTTCCAATGAACCCCTGGGCCTTGGGATGGCAAGGACAGACAGGGCTTGGGCACAGCCTCCCCAGCCAGAAATTCACATTCTCCCCTCTGGAATCAATGACAGACACCAGCCTGTGGCTGCAGCCCCCCTCCCTCAGCCTGACTTTGTGCCACAGGAGGCTCCCTGGGGTCAAGGGCAGCTCCAGGTGTTCCAGGCAAGCACAGGAACAGCCCTGGGCAGTCCTGCAGCCTTGGGCACCAACACGATCAGGATGTGGTTTTAACTTGTTCTTTAAAGCACTCAGATAAGAGCAAAGATGACTCAAGAAGGGTTGAGATGAAGGAATCAGTGAAGCAGGAGACAGGGCAGGAGAAGGAGCAAGGATAAGAAAGAGGAGCTGCTGAGAAAGAGGAAAAGCCACCACACCTGTGCCAGCCCTGCACCAGAGCCCAGCCCTTGCCACCCTCTGAGGCATCACCCAAAAATGCCTCCACCCAACACAGAATTCAGAGCCCACCTCTGAGCTGCTGCAGGAAAGAGGGGAAATCCACACCACAATCCCTGAGCTGCCTCAAGGATGCCAGAACAGGGACCCAGCTCTCTGTGGATGCCAGACCCCAGGAAGAAATTCCCTGCACAATGAAATAAGGCTCAGGGCAATGCAGACTGGCACCACTTCCATATTACTGCAGGGGGGTCTGGATCCCCCTGGATCTGCAGGGGGAAGCTGCCACCATTGAGGGAACCAGGGATGAGCCCAGCCATCCAAACCCCCACCCTCCACAGCCAGCTTTCCTTGGAGCTCCCACAAACACACCTGGGAGTGTTTGTGAACCAGGGATGAGCCCCAGCCATCCAAACCCCCATCCTCCACAGCCAGCTTTCCTTGGAGCTCCCACAAACACACCTGGGAGTGTTTGTGAACCAGGGATGAGCCCCAGCCATCCAAACCCCCATCCTCCACAGCCAGCTTTCCTTGGAGCTCCCACAAACACACCTGGGAGTGTTTGTGAACCAGGGATGAGCCCCAGCCATCCAAACCCCCATCCTCCACAGCCAGCTTTCCTTGGAGCTCCCACAAACACACCTGGGAGTGCCCTCCTGTGCTGGGCTGCACAGAGGGCAAGCAATTAAAATAAAAACAACCCTAAATCCCACACACTGGTTGCAGGTGATGTGATTTAAGGAGGAAGAGCCAGCTGAGCAAGATTAGTATTTTAAATAAGTTGAAGTTTAAGACATTTGACCCAAACAATGGGTCACGTTTTTGATGGCCCACATAAAACTCGTGTAAAACATTGGCCACAGCCCCGGAGGATGTTCTGATAAGGACCAGAAAAAGCACCAAAACCTGGCTGATCTGGGCAACAGCCAGAGAACAGCAAATGAGCAGAAAGAGGGGGAAAAATTCCTGGAAGTCCAGTTTGTCCCTGAGGAGCCTGGTTTGCCCCCTTTTAAGGGGTGTGAAAAGGTCCCGGGCCAGGCTGCAGCCTGACAAATTCGGGCTAAAAATAACCAGGGCGGGTGCAAACAATGCCGTGGGGCCGTCACACATCCTGTGACAGCGGCAGGAGCCCAAACCTGGCCTCGGGCAGGGCCAGGGGCTCCAAACCCCCCACACCTCCTTACAGGGATCCTGTGCTGCCGAGTGGAACCAAACTTCAGCGTGATCCCGGCAGGAGAAGATTACAGATCAAAGATTAAGGCCTCAATTCGCCTCTGAGGGAGTCAAAGACAGGAGAAAATCTGGTTTTCCCCGGGGTTCAGTCACCAATTCTTATGTTCCTGCATGGATAAACCCACCCGTTTCAAACTCTTGCTTAAAAGATCTCCCAAACTGTGAATCGGGATCATTCCTAATCCTCTGTAAAACCTGCTGATGCATCCATCCCCTGAGCGTGCAGAGCAACCTCAGCAGCCCAAGAAGCGCTGCAGCTCAGGCTCCTGCTCTCTGCAAGCACTTCCCTGCACGGCCCGAGAAACTTCCCCGGTGCTGACGTTTTATCGTTAAAACCCTTCCATCCTAATTAAAGAATTTAAAAAAAAATTACACCTCTGCACGTTGGAAAACGTGTCAAAGCCGAGCACTTTCACTTTCAAAAACGTCCAGCACTCACCTCTGCCTCCCACCGAGCAGCAACACCTTCTGCTTCCAGGGAAAACAGCGGGAAAAGCGTGTCCTGTGCCGGCTGAGGACATTCCCTGCTGGGAGCTGGGAGCGACAGCTCAGAGAGCTCCAAACCCAGCGGCCCGGAGAGCTCGGGGGACCCGCGGCAGCAGAGGGCACGGAGCCCGCCCGGCTGCCCCGGGACGGGACACGGAGCAGGGGACACCGATCCCTCCCCGGCCACATTCCTGCACCTTTGGGGCTCCAGCCCGAGCCAGCCAGGAGTCCCATGGCGGTTCGGAGCCAAACCACGGCCCAGCGTGACCCGCAGCGCTGGAGCAGCCGCGGCGGGGGCAGCTCTGGGGCCGCTGCCGCCCGTGCCGGGGCTGCCTCCGCTCGCCAAGAGCACAGCCAGCAGCTGAATCACCCAGGCTGCCACACTTCTGCAGGGCCTCCAAAAATAACCGCGCTGGAAATTCCTTGGAGGCACAAACCTTGCTTCACAAGGACTGCGGAGATCCAGTTTCCTTAGTGGAGCAGACTGGATGCGAACGGGCCCGAGGGTTCAGGGGCACGGCCAGAGGGGATGAGGAGCCCTGGTCGCGGGGACAGCCAGTGACAGACCCCAGCCCGGGCCGGCATGGAGCCGCCGAGCTGCCCGGGCTCCCACCCCGAGCTGCCCACGGTTCTGCTGCTGCCCCGGCTCCAGGGCCAGCTCCTTGTCCCCGGCGAGCCTCAGGCTCAGAGCCGAGCCCTTCCCAGGGCTCCGCTGCGGCGCCTTCTATCAAACACCAGCATCCAAACACCGCCCCAGCCCCTTCCCCGCGCCCACATCCCCCGCGCCGCCCCCAGCAAGGCCTGCCCGGGCCGGGCTGCACCCGGGGGTCCCGGCAGCGGCGCTCGGCACTGCCGGGCCCGGGGCTGCGGCCGGCCCGGGCCGGGCTCACAGCTCCGGCTGACCTCGGGCACCGCCACAAGGACACGGAGCCCACGGAGCCGGCTCCAGGGCAATCCCCCCCGTGCCGGGGCTCAGCTCCCGCTGCCCGTGCGGCTGTCGGGGCGGAGGGGATGGGAACGGGGCGAGCAGAGCGCCAGAGCTGTGCCGCCCGTGCTCCTCAGGTGGGACTGGTGCTCCTGCACCGCGGGGCTCCCACAGCGGGAGCGGCCCCGACACGGCTCCTGAGGAACCCTCGGGTCCGCAGCTCCCGGCACCGCTCTCGTTACCGCGGGCGAACAAGTAAATAACACTAATTATCTCAAATCCCGCCAACCGCTCCCAGTCGATGACATTTAACGAAGAAAAGCGCAATATTGTAAATGAGCTGAAATTTAAACTTTCGACCCAAACAGCCGGAGCCCGCTGCAGGAACAACCCGGGGTTATTTCGGTCCTTGCGGGGTCCCGAAGCGGGCGGGGATCACCGCAGCTCTTGCCCGAAAGGCAGAGGAATGGCCCCAAAACGGAGTGCGGGGGGGGCTGGCACGGCCTTCCCCGGGCAGCGCCCGAGCCCGGCGGGGCGGGCAGGGCACCGCGGGGCCTGGCCGGGGGCTCACCTGCGATGGCCGAGTCGTCCAGGTGGGAGCCGGGGGCCCGCTCGGCGCGGCCGGGATGCTGCAGGACGAGGAGGAGGAGAAGGAGGAAAAGGCCGCACAGCGCCCGCACGGCCCGGCCCGGCCGCGGCTCCATTTCCGCGTCCCCGCCGCCGTCAGCTGCTCCTCGGCATCGGCACCGGCTGGGGGCCCGCGGGGTGTCCCGGTTATCCCGGCTATCCCGGCACCGCCGCCAGCTGCGGCCGCGCACCGGCTACCGGAACCCTCTGCCCCCCTCGCCCCGCAGTGGTCTCTCCCAGGACAGCCTCCCCCCCCGCCGCAGTGGTCTCTCCCGGGACAGCCCCAGTCCCCCCGCCGTCAGTGGTCTCTTCCCGGGGTAACCCCGCCGGCCCCTCTCCGTTCTGCCGGGATAACCTCACTTCCCGCCACCTCCGCTAGCGGCTCCCCGGCCCGCTCCGTCCCTCCGCCGCCTCCTGGCAGCGGTGCCTGCCGAAAAACCCCGCTCTTTCTGTGCCGGGACAGCCCTGCACCCCCCTCCGGGTCCGCGGTGGTCTCGTCCGCCCCCCCGCGCGCCGCCCTACGCACCGGGCCCTGGCGCGGCCGCGCGCGCGCTTACAGGGAGCGTGGCCAAGCACTGCTGGGCCACACCCACCGGGGGCGGGGCCAACGGGGCGGGCACGTGGCCACGCCCCCGCTCCCGCCCGCGCGCGCACGGCGCTGGCCCGCAGCGACCTCTGGTGGGCGGAGAGGGGAATGGCGGGACAGGGACACAGCGACAGGAGCGACACATCGCGATAGGGGGACACACCGACAGGGGTGACACACACCGACAGGGGACACACCGGGACAGGGGACACACCGACAGGGGTGACACACCGCGACAGGAGCGACACATCGCGATAGGGGGACATACCGACAGGGGTGACACACACCGACAGGGGACACACCGGGACAGGGGGACACACCGACAGGGGTGACACACACCGACAGGGGTGACACACACCGACAGGGGACACACCGACAGGGGTGACACACACCGACAGGGGACACACCGCGACAGGGGACACACCGACAGGGGACACACCGCGACAGGAGCGACACATCGCGATAGGGGGACACACCGACAGGGGTGACACACACCGACAGGGGACACATCGCGATAGGGGGACACACCGACAAGGGACACACACCGGGACAGGGGACACACCGGGACAGGGGAGACACCGGGCCAGGGGAGACACCGACAGGGGACACACACCGATAGGGGACACACCCCATGGGACACACGCAATGGGACACACACCAACATGTCACACACCAATATGTCACACACCAACATGTCACCCACCCCGATGTGTCACCCACCCTGGCTCTCTGGGCAGAGACACTCTGGGGTCCCAGCACGTGGCTCCTGGTTCGCGGCGGGGCTGAGGAGATTGCGACACCTCCCAGAGCTGGGACACCTCCAGGGCCACCAGCTCCCGGTGGCACGGCTGGAGCGGTGCCACCAGTGTGCCCTGAGGCCACCGCCTGGGGGAGCACGGGGAGCTTACATCTGTCCCACCCCTCACATCTGCCCCAATCCTCTCATGCGTCCCACTCGGCCAGGGTGCTCCGAGCAGTGACAGCCCTGTCCCTGGAGCAGGCTGTTCCCAGCCAGGTGCCTACGCCCCTGCTATGGGGTGGGGGTCCCAGGGGGTCCCCTGGCCATGGTGGGGATCCCAGGCTGGGACACGGGGCTGGCTGCTGTCCAGGCTGATGTCCAGGCTGATGTCCAGTGTCCCTTGGGTTCTGGTCCCTGTGCTGGCACTGGGGAAGATGCTGGCTGTGGGTGGGGGTCCCACACCTGCAGACCCCAAGATGATGATGGGGACGGGCCACTGGGGTGGGGAAAGGCCACTGGGGTGGGGACGGGCCACTGGGATGGGGACAGGCCACTGGGATGGGGATGGGTCACTCTGATGGACACAGGCCACTGGGGTGGGGACAGGCCACTGGGATGGGGACGGGTCACTGGGGTGGGGACAGGCCACTCGCTCCCAGGAGCTGCCTCCCCTCCATGCCTGGTGTCCCCCACAAGCCCCTCCTGCCCCAGGGACCCCTATGGGCTGTGGGCACTGCTGGGGGGGACCCCCAGACTGGGGGACCCGGCCCTTGGGGGGACCCTCACAGCACCCAGGCTCCTCTGGCCTCGGGGGCGAGGGGGGACACTCCTGCAGCAGCCACAGGACCCTGTGCTGTCACCCCCTGTGCTGTCACCCCCTGTGCTGTCACCCCCTCCCCACGCACACCCCGAGGGCAGGGGGTGTCATGTCCCCCCCACCATCAGCCCCCGAGTCCCCAGGTGACCCCGGGTGGGGTGGGCTCCCTTCCCTGCTCACCCCCCGCACCCCCAGAGCTCTGGGCCCCCCGGGCTGGCCGGGGCTGTCCCGCTGTGTCCCTGTCCCCAGCGCTGGGGTCGGGGTGAGTGGCAGGGGCCAAGGGGGGCCTCAGGGGTTGCGAGGTGGGGTCAAGGATGAGTGCCAGGGGTGGGAGGGCAGGGGCGGGGCTGGGGGGTCAGAGTTGGGGTCAAGGATGGGGGGCCCAAGGGTGGGGGGCCCAAGGGTGGGGGCTCGGGGGTCAGAGTTGGGTTCAAGGGTGGGGGGCTCAGGGGTGGGTGGTTCAAGGGTGGGGGGTTCAAGGGTGGGTGGTTCAAGGGTGGGGGGCCCAAGGGTGGGGGGCTCAGGGGTGGGGTCTCAAGGGTGGGGGGCTCAGGGGTGGGGGCTCGGGGGGCGCAGGCAGCTGCCGCGGGAGGGGGGTCCCTGGCCCGCCCGGCCCGGGCGCTGCGGGTCCCCGCTCGGGGCGGTGCCGGGGGTCGTGCCCCGGGCGCTGCCCCAGCCCCGCGGCGGTGCCGCAGCCCGGGGCGGTGCCAGGGGCGCGGGGGCTGCGCTGCCCCGGCCCGGGGCCGAGGAAGGAAGCGGCGGGCGCGGGGGGCCGGGCGCGGCGGGGGAAGTTTCTCCGCGGGACCGCCCGGGGCGGCGGAGGAGGCGGCCGCAGACTTCCTCCTCCTCCTCCTCCTCCTCCTCCTCGTCTCGTCCTGCTCCTCGTCCTGCTCCTCGTCCCGCCGCCGCTGCCGCCCCGGCCCCGCGCCCGCCGCCGCGCCATGCCCCGGGGTGAGTGCGGGGCCGGGGCACCGGGGAGGGCCGGGGGTCCCGCGGCCGGGGGGGCGGGAGGAGCCGCCGGTCGGGGCCAGGGCGGGGGCGGCGGCAGCGGGACCCGCCCGGAGCGGGACCACGGGGGATAACGGGACTGCCGGGGAGAACGGAGCTGCCGGGGACAACGGGGAGGGACAGCGGAGCTGCGGGGACGAGGGGACCGCCGGGGATAACGGAACCGCCAGGGATAGCGGGGACCCGGGGTTGACGGGACAGCCGGGGATAACGGGGCACCGCGGTGCCCCGGCAGGAGCGGAGTTTTGGGCGGCAGCGGGCCCGGCAGCAGCCGGGACAGAGCGGGGACACAAACGGGCCCGGCCCGACCCTCTCGGCGGGACCCCGGCCCCGCACCCGCCGGATCTGCAGCCGCACCCCGGCCCCGCTCCGGGCCCGGCGCTGAAGGGGCTGCGCGACACCGGGGGGCGCTGCACGGACCGCGGGACCCCGGCCCCGTCCTGACCCGGCGGCCCCTGCGCTGACCCCCCGGCACCGACCCCCCTGCACTCACTGTCCCCCTGCACTGTCCCCTGCAGTGACCCCTGCACTGTCCCCTGCAGTGACCCCCTGACCCCCCTGCGGCACCCCACATATCCCTCACAGGCGCTGCCACACGTGTGCAGCAGCCAGGACGTGCCAGGGCTGTCCCTGCGGCCGTGGGTGCTTGTCACGGGGTGCCCTGGGTCTCCCCCGGGGTCACTGGGTCACTCAGTCACGCGGGGACACCTGTGGGTCCCCTGCAGCCTGCGGGGCTGCTGGGGGCTGCTGGGCTTCCCCCGCTTGGATTGGGGAGAGGAGAAGCCACTGAGGTACTGAGGTACCATTTGTGGCCTATGGGGACAAGCTGTGGTGGGAGCGTGGTGGGAGGGGGCCCATGGGGACAGGCTGTGGTGGGAGGGGGCTGGCCCAGGCTCCAGGAGTGTCTGTGGGCAGTTGTGGAGGTGCTGGGCCGTGCTGGCCACGGTGCAGGTGTGGGCTGTGCCCTCGTGCGTGGAAGTGGGGTGGGTTTGGCCATGGCCCAGAGAGGTGTCAGAGCAGCACAGAGCTACCACCCAGCCTTGGGGCCTGGCCTGGCCTGCCTGGCTCCATCCACCCATCCATCCATCCATCCATCCATCCATCCATCCATCCATCCATCATCCATTCATCCATCCATCCATCCATCCATCCATCATCCATCCATCCATCCATCCATCCATCCATCATCCATCCATCCATCCATCCATCCATCCATCCATCCATCCATCATCCAGCCATCCATCCCTCCATCATCCATCCGTCCATCCATCATCCATCCATCCATCCATCCATCCATCCATCATCCATCCATCCATCATCCATCCATCCATCCATCATCCATCCATCCATCCATCCATCCATCATCCATCCATCCATCCATCCATCCATCCATCCATCCCTCCATCATCCATCCCTCCATCATCCATCCATGCATCCATCCATCCGTGCATCCATCCATCCATCATCCATCCATCATCCATCAATCATCCATCCATCATCCATCCATCCATCATCCATCCATCATCCATCCATCATCCATCCATCATCCATCCATCCATCCATCATCCAGCCATCCATCCATCCATCCATCATCCATCATCCATCATCCATCCATCCATCATCCATCCATCCATCATCCATCCATCATCCATCCATCCATCCATCCATCCATCATCCATCCATCCATCCATCCATCCATCCATCCATCATCCATCCATCCATCCATCCATCCATCCATCCATCCATCCATCATCCATCCATCCATCATCCATCCATCATCCATCTATCCATCCATCCATCCATCCATCCATCCATCCATCCATCCATTATCCATCCATCCATCCATCCATCCATCCATCATCCATCCAGCCATCCATCCATCCATCCATCATCCATCCATCCATCATCCATCCATCCATCATCCATCCATCCATCATCCATCCATCATCCATCCATCCATCCATCCATCCATCATCCATCCATCCATCCATCCATCCATCATCCATCCATCATCCATCCATCCATCCATCCATCCATCCATCCCTTGCAGAGGCCTGGGTTTGGCTGCAGCTCCTGGGGCAGAGGCCAAGGGTGAGGGAGGCCTGGTGAGGAGCAGAGCGGGACCCGGCCTGGAGGGAAATAAAATGAGGAAATTGGTCACGACAGCTGGAAAATGAGGGAAATCAAAACCCTCCGACTCAGCACCGGAGTTATTTCAGCTGCCACGGCAGAGCCTGGGGCAGAGCTGGGGGGTCTCTGCATCCCCACCATGGCCATGGACCCCCATGGGGTCCCTGCTGGAGGTTTAGAGATTTTGGCAGTTTCATTACTTTTCTCTTTCTGCTGCTGAGCAGGCTGCAGGGCCGGGGGGACAATGCTGTGCCTGCCCCCCGAGCAGGAGTGACCCCCGTGCTGGGGCTGGTGACCCCAGCCCTGGGTGGCCCTGGGCACGTCCCTCGGGCCAGGATGGACCCGGGGCAGGGCAGGGTGCCCAGGGCAGGGCAGGGTGGGCTGTGAGGTGCCCGCAGTGGGGTGTGCCGGTGCTGTGGGGCGGGGAAGGGGTGCCTGGGGCGGGCAGGGTCGGTTCAGGGAGCTTTGGGGACCGTGGGACAGGGAGCTCACGGGGGCGGCTGCTCCACTTCCCCGGCGGAAAACCCCCGGGGGCTGCCCCGGCCGGGAGCGCTGGCAGAGGGTTTTGCTTCCCTTTTCTGCTGAAGAGATGAGTCGCTTTTCCCGTGCCAGGGGGTGGCGATGGGAGGGGGGACCTCTGTGTGTCACCCACAGCCCCCCAGGGCCGCCCGAGTGCCACCGCGGTGAGGAGCGGGGCCGGGGGGCTCGGGGTGCCGATCCCGGGGCTGGGCACGGGGCGGCCCCGGGCTCCCACCCCTCCTGCCCCGGGCCCCTCTGCTGGGGCTGGCAAGGGGCAGGTGCCCCACGGGCTGTGTCCCCTCAGCCCCACGAGGCCACTGTGACCCCGGCATCCCGGGGCACAGAAGGGGTTAAATGCGCTGCGGGCCGCCGATCTCCGGGAGAACAGAGCTGGCCTTGTGCCGGCAGCGGAGCTGGCAGCAGCCGTGGGGGCACAGCAGGGCCGAGGCACCCACCCAATGTCCCCGGACAGGCCCAGCCTGGCCCTGGGGCAGTGGGGCCTCGGGAGCCCCAGCGTGGCTGCGGGGACACGGTGACCTCCAGCCCCTGCCTGGCACCACCAGGATGCCCCCGGGCAGCCCCTGCCCTGTCCTGGAATGGGGCTCCTTTGGCAGGGCTCCTGCGGACCCTCCTGTCCCGTGCTGGGGGACACGGGCGCCCAGGAGGCAGGGCACTGTGCCTCCTCATCCTCCCTGGGAAGATGAGTGTGAGTCAGGGGCTTGGCTGGGGCTGGGGGGGCCGGTTGGGACTGAGATGTGGTGGCTGTGGCTGCAAACCTTGGCTGTGACAGAGCCAGAGCCCCCCCGGCACCCCCCAGAGCCCCCCTGGCACCCTTTGGCTGTGACAGAGCCAGAGCCCCCCTGGCACTCACATCCCCTCCTTGGCACCCAGACTGATTTGGGGCTGCTGTGGGGGCTCTGCCCTGCACAAAGCCCCCTCCTCAGTGAAGCATTTGCCCTGTGAGTGTGGGCCATGCTGCAGGTCCCCTCGCTGTGCCACAGGCACCTCGTACCTGGTGCTGGCAGTGCCAGGGCTGGCAGCAGCCAAAAGGCTCCTGTGTGAGCCCTCGGCTCCTGTGTGGCCCCTCCATGGGCACCGTGGTGTGTGCCCACGTTTGGTGTGTGCTGGTGACAAACCTGGGGACACTGGAGCTCCAACCCCAGGGTGCTGGGTGATGGAGAAGTGACCCCTGGCCTCGAGCCCCCCCTTCTCCTCCTCTTCCTCCTCCTTTCCCTCCTCCTCTGTTTCCCAGTGGTGATGCCCTTCACAGGCACGAGTGTTTCCTCTGTGCCAGGATGGGGATGGGGATGGGGATGGGGATGGGGATGGGATGGGGATGGGGATGGGGATGGGGATGGGGATGGGGATGGGGATGGGATGGGATGGGATGGGGAATGGGGAATGGGGAATGGGCATGGTTCCTGCCAGGTGCAGCTCATCCCGAGGTGCCCACAGTCAGCTTGGGCTTGGCATCAGCAGTGTGTGCCATGTCCCAGTGTGGGATGGGCACAGGGCCAGGCTGGTGCTCAGGGCTGCTTTGGGTCCAGACTGAGTCAGTCAGGCCAAATGGGGCCTTGGGGTGACAGGGGCAGCTGTGTCCCACTGCCGGGGCTGCCCTGGGCCAGGGGTGGGGTGGCTGCAGGACAGGAGGGGCACAGGGGACGTGGGTGGCACTTACAGCCCCTGCGGAAGGTGCCTGTCCCTGAGGGTGGTCCTGTGCAGCCACGGAGGGACCTCAGTCTCCCACAGTCCTGATCCTGGTCCCATGACCCTGATCCTGTTCCTCCCTGCTCCTTCTCCCTCTGCTCCTGCTGCCATTGCTCTGATCCACTTCCTTCCCCCTGCTCCAGCTGCTCCTGATCCGGTTCCTTCTCCCACTGTCCTGGTCTCCTTGATCCTGATCCCCCTGTTTTGATTCCCGTCCCCATGACCAGCCCTCTGTGCCCTCTCCCACCGCGCACCTCGCGGCCCTGCAGCCCAGCACTGCCTGTGCCTGCCCCGGGCTGAGCCGCTGGTGCCGAGCGCCGTGAGGGAACCTCCGGGCCGCGGTTGCGCCCGAACTGGAGGCCAAAGGCCGGGACTGTGTTTGCGGCCCCCGGGGACCCTGCAGGCGGCTTCCTGCGGGGGTGGGGATGCGGATGGGGATGGGGATGGGAATGGGGGCCGCCTGTGCGGGCCCCGCTGCTCCCCGCTCACCCGGCGGGGATGCGGGGATGCCCCGCCCGGGGGGAAACTGAGGCACAGCGCTGCGGGGCGGCCCTGGCAGCCCCCCGTGCGTGTCCCGGGGGTCGGGGCACAGCCAGGCAGGGCGGGGGTCACGGCACAGCCGCAGGAAGCCGCGTGTCAGCGCGGGAAGAGGAAGAGCGACTTCCCCATCCGAGGGGGCAGGGACGGGCTGGGGCTCGGGCCCTTCCCCCTCCCCAGCCCTGCGGGCTCAGCGGGCTCTGGGCAGCGGGGACCCCAGCCCAGGACACACGGTGGGATTTCTGCCCCGGCACACGAGCGGGGCTCCCATCCTCCCGCAGCGATCCCATGGGGGGCACCAGCTGCCCACGGCCGCATCCCGGTGCGAAAGGGGCTGCGGGCCCAGGGTGGGCGCGTCCCCAGCCCAGCACCGTGGGGTGCCCCCGCCTCGGCTGGGCAGGGCTGGGCAGCGCCGGGCTCCGGCCAGCAGCAAGAAGGGGAGCAGGATGCAGCCCTTAATGGGAATCGCAGAGGGAACCTGAGGAAGGAAAACGCGCGCCGGGATTTGGGATAAACACAGCTGCCGGAGCGGACGCTGGCTCCGGGGCCACGCCAGCCACAGCGCCGGCCCTGCTTGCTGTGGGCAGGATGGGGCTGGGACAAACGGTGACAGCCCACGGGCTGCCACAGCCCCGGTATGGCCCCGCTCCCTGCCCTGCTGCCCTCCGATTCCGGGCTGGGGGCACAGCACAGCATGGCACAGCATGGGATGGCACAGCACAGGATGGCACAGCACAGCATGGCACAGCACGGGATGGCACAGCCTGGCTGCCATGCATGCAGCACCCTGGGGACAGTGTGGTCCCCATGCACTGGCCATGGTGGCACATGTGTGTCCCTGGGTCATGGTGGGCAGATCCCCATTGTGGGGGCTCTCTGCCTGCCTGTGAAGCTCATCTGGGCCCTGGGTTGGATGGTGAACCAAGGGGATGCGATCCTTGCGCAGCCCCCGTCGTTGGGGTGTCAGAGCAGGGGGACCCCGCTGACCCAGCCCTGGAGCGTCCCCTCCCTGAGCCCCTTCTCTTCCCACAGGCTGCTGAGGGCACACCAGGAGCGCCGGCATGCAGAGCATCAAGTGCGTGGTGGTGGGTGACGGCGCGGTGGGCAAGACCTGCCTGCTCATCTGCTACACCACCAACGCCTTCCCCAAGGAGTACATCCCCACCGTGTTCGACAACTACAGCGCCCAGAACACGGTGGACGGCAGGACTATAAACTTAAACCTGTGGGACACGGCCGGCCAGGAGGAGTACGACCGCCTGCGGACGCTTTCCTACCCCCAGACCAACGTCTTCATCATCTGCTTCTCCATCGCCAGCCCGCCCTCCTACGAGAACGTCAAGCACAAGTGGTACCCCGAGGTGTGCCACCACTGCCCCAGCGTGCCCATCCTCCTCGTCGGCACCAAGAAGGATCTGAGGAACAACCCCGAGATCATGAAGCGGCTCAAGGAGCAGAACCAGGCGCCCATCACCACCCAGCAGGGCATCAGCCTCTCCAAGCAGATCCGCGCCGTCAAGTACCTGGAGTGCTCGGCGCTCAACCAGGAGGGCATCAAGGATGTGTTCACCGAGGCCGTGAGGGCCGTGCTCAACCCTGCCCCGGCCAAGCCCAAGAGGCCCTGCGTGCTCTTGTGACGGGGCTGCCGAGGGACGATCCTGGCCCTGCCCCGTGCCCCGCACAGCTCCTGCCCCCAGCCAGCCCCGTGCCTCCCCAGCCTGGGTGGGAGCCGCAGCCTCCAGCTTTAGTAATACAGACCTTGTTTGCACTAACTGGCCGCCCGCCCCGGGGCACCGGGCTCCCCGCCCTGCCTTTGGTGACGCCTCTCCGGTCCTGGCACAGCAATGCTTCCTGAGAAGGGGATGCCCGGGGTGGGCCACCCCCACTGCAGCCCTGGGCACCCCACGGGGACCTGCCACCTCCACCCTCTACACCAGCTGGGGCACAGGGGGTCCCCAGCCCTTCTGTGCCAGCCCCAGCACTCGCCCAGCCCGGAGCATCTCGCTGGCACTGCCCCCTCCTGCCCCGGGATCCCCCTAGAGGCACCAGGGGCTCCTGGGGGTGTTTGGTGAGCCCCACACCAGGGACCTCCAGCCCTGCTGAGAGCAGAGCCAGTGTGGCCAGAGTAGAGAGCTCCTGCCCTGGCTGGTGCTGGAGCTCCACAGGGCAGCAGGACTCACCTGTAACCAGCTGCCCCCAGAGTTGCTTCTCCTGAAATAAAAACCTGCCCAGGCTCCCCGTGTCCTGTGCTCTCCCCCTTTCCTGGGCGTGGGGACACTGCCTGGAGGGACATGGATGTCACAGGCCCGAGCTGGGCTGGGACCCCTCACTGTGCCATGGCCAAGCTGAGGGTGCTCATGGTGCCTGCCAGGGCTCTCCTCTGGAGGGAACTGCCAGGGAAGCTTGGCATGTCCCTGCCATGGTCACTCCCGACCCCACCATCTCTGTGCCCAGCTGAGCTCCCACCCAGGGGCTTGGGGACATTGTAAGGGACAGCAATGGGGACAGTGCAGGACGTGGCCATGGGGCCATTGAACTGTGTGGAAATGGGGACACTGAGGATGGGCACGTTGCAGGAATTGGCACATGAGTGGGGACCCCCTGGGCAGCCCTCAGCCACCCCAGCCCCTGTACTGCCTCTGGGGTGGCAGGTGGAGGGCAGAGCCCTGTGCTCCCGTGCCCAGGGGTGTCCCTGGTGTTCCCGTGTCCCATGGCTGGCTGTGGCAGCAGTGAGGGAGCAGAGCCCTGTGCTCCCATGCCCAGGGGTGTCCCTGGTGTTCCCGTGTCCCATGGCTGGCCATGGCAGCAGCGAGGGAGCAGAGCCCTGTGCTCCCATGCCCAGGGGTGTCCCTGGTGTTCCCGTGTCCCATGGCTGGCCATGGCAGCAGCGAGGGAGCAGAGCCCTGTGCTCCTGTGCCCAGGGGTGTCCCTGGTGTTCCTGTGTCCCGTGGCTGGCCATGGCAGCAGCGAGGGAGCAGAGCCCTGTGCTCCCATGCCCAGGGGTGTCCCTGGTGTTCCTGTGTCCCATGGCTGGCCATGGCAGCAGCGAGGGAGCAGAGCCCTGTGCTCCTGTGCCCAGGGGTGTCCCTGGTGTTCCTGTGTCCCGTGGCTGGCCATGGCAGCAGTGAGGGAGCAGAGCCCTGTGCTCCCATGCCCAGGGGTGTCCCTGGTGTTCCTGTGTCCCGTGGCTGGCCATGGCAGCAGTGAGGGAGCAGAGCCCTGTGCTCCCATGCCCAGGGGTGTCCCTGGTGTTCCTGTGTCCCGTGGCTGGCCATGGCAGCAGTGAGGGAGCAGAGCCCTGTGCTCCCATGCCCAGGGGTGTCCCTGGTGTTCCTGTGTCCCGTGGCTGGCCATGGCAGCAGTGAGGGAGCAGTGGCATCCCCGGCCGCCCTCGCCACCCCCTCGCCACCCCCCCGGCACGTGCTGGCGTGCGGCCATGTCCGGACACGGGCCCCTTGTCCGGCCCCGGGCCTTCCTGCAGGAAGGGCAGAGACCCGGCGCCTGCCACAAGCCGCCTTTGTTCCCTGCTCCCCTTGGCACCAGAGCCGGGGCAGCAGGCGTGGGCAGCGGGGCTGGGGGCTCCGGCCACGGCCCGGCCCAGCCCAGCCCAGCCTCCTGCAGCCTCCCGGGGCTTGGCAGAGTGTGGCCCCTGCAGAGCCCACCCTGCGAGCCCAGGGCCAGGGGACACAGCCCCAGGGGCACTGCACAGCCACGGGCTCAGGGGCCCCTGCTGCACCAAATCCTGCTCCCACCGTGGGCATCCAACAGCCCTGTCCTGGTCTGTGGCATGATCCCCACAGCCACATCCTGCTCCCACTGTGGTGGATCCCTACAGCCACATCCTGCTCCCACTGTGGTGGATCCCTACAGCCATGTCCAGGTCCCACAGGGGGATCCCTACAGCCATGTCTGCTCCCACCATGGTGGATCCCCAGGGCCATGTCTGGGTCCCACTGTGGGGCTGGCAAGGTGCCACCCCGGTGGGGTTTGGTGTGGAAATGGGTGCTGGGGTGAGGAGGGGACCCTGTGATGCCACGAGCGGGACACAGCCCTGCCCTGGCCCGGCACAGCAGGATGAGCTCACGGTTCTTCCCCTCCCAGCTGCTCCCGGGGCAGCTGCAGCGAGGGCAGGGCCCACCATGGCCCGGGACAGGGGGGACCAAGGCCTCAGCAGCTCCCCTGCCCCTGCCCAGCCCCAGCCCCAGCAGTGCCAGCCCCAGCCCTCCTGGCTCCAGGCTCTGTCCCCGGGGCTGGGCTGGCCCTGGCCCTGCAGCATCAGTAAGATCTGCAGGATCTGCAGCCGAGTGAGCGGCCCCAGGAGCTGGGCGGGGAGCGGGGCCGCCAGCTGCGGGGTGGGCTCAGTCCCACGCCTCCAGCCCGGCTCCTGGCTCATTCCCAGCTTTGCTGAGCCTTCCCGGGCTTCATCCGGCACCCAGGGACACGTCCCACACCACAGCCCCAGGAGCCAGGATCCAGAGCCCACACCCCAGTGATCCAGAGCCCACACCCCAGTGATCCAGAGCCCACACCCCAGCGATCCACACCCCACACCCCAGCGATCCACACCCCACACCCCAGCACCCAGGACTGACGTTCCACACCCCAGCGATCCACACCCCACATCCCAGTGATCCACACCCCACGCCCCAGAACCCAGGGGTCACATCTTGCACCCCAGCTCCAACACCCAGGATCCACATCCCACACTCCAGCCCCGTAGCCCAGAGTCAGTGTCCTGCACCCCATTCCAGCCCCCACCCTGCCCGTGGTGCTGGTCTGGACCTGCTGGCTGTTCCAGGGCCGTGCCAGGGCCGTGCCAGGCTGGGCCAGGTGGAGATGCTGTGGAGGCTGCAGAGGGCTCACAAAAATACTTAGTGCTTTATTTCCACCTCAAAGCCAAGGCGCCACACGCATGCAGGGACATGGATGGAGCCCATGGATGGGGACACCGACGATGGACACGCGCTGCTCAAAGCCAGCTCAGCCCCAGCTCTGCCAGGGCCCCACAGCTCCTGCTGGAGGAGGCTCTGCCCAGCCCTGGGATGAGCCCTGGGACATCCCAGGTGGCCCTCGGTGGTGGCTGTGCTCAGGTGAAGGGCAGGGAGGGACCCACACCGGTCCTTCCTAGCCAAGCATGGAGTGGGACGAGCCTGGCAAGTGCAGACCTCCCCAAAATCAAGGCAGCTCCAGGTGCCCCTTCCAGCAGCACTGCAGGAGGAGCTTGGGGACACTGTCAGCCCCCATCTGCCATCCAGCCACGTCCCCTGGCAGCCAGAGCTGCACATTGGGGGCACTGCTGAACCCCAGCAGGTCCCAGCTCCAGCCCCACGGCACAGGGGAAGCCATGGGGACGCTGGGGCAAAGACCTCCAGCACCAGCACACTCAGCCTGCCTCCTCAAACTGGGTTGGGACGGGCACAGCACCCCTGGCACAGCCTGTGCTGCTGGGAGGGCTTCTGGGAAAGGCAGGAGCGAGACCTGGATGCTCCCAGCACCTGCTCTGCCCTGTGCGCTCCCACCCTGCTCCAGGCAGTCCCTGCACGGCCCAGCCCTTCCTGCTCCCCTCCTGGGCACTCAGGCACACGTGGGCCAGGACCCTGCCCCAGTCCAGAGAGCAGTGCCTGAAGCCAGCCCAAAAGGCCACCAGCCCTTTCTGAGGGCTTGCCCCAAGACCCCCAGCCTGCAGGAGGAACCGTGAGAGCCCCCAGGCCAAGAAAGGGCAGGGCAGGGCTGGACCCCCATGGCCCAATGCCGGGAGCAGCATCCTGCTCTCCCTGGAGCATTCTCCAAAGCAAGAGGCAGCAAGTCCTGCTCCTCCTCTGTCCTGCCCTCCTGGAGCTGCAGGAGCCAGGACAGGGGTCCCTGGAAGAGCCCACAGCTCCCCTGGAGCAGAGCTGCAGCTGCAGGAGGGGCAGACACTCGGGGACCTCGGCGGGATCCTCGCAGCAGCTCCACAGCAAACACCCAGCCCTCCTCCAGGCAGGACAGGGAAGAGGAGCCCCAGCACGGGGCTGGCTAGAAGTGCTTGTCCTCCAGCAGGGAGCTCACCACCAGCTCCTTGTTGCCGAAGTCCCAGAAGGCAGTCATGTGGAAGGCCATGTTGGAGAGGACAACCAGGTACTCCAGGAAGGCGAAGACAGTGTACACTGGGGGAGGAAGCACAGCAGGTGAGGGGGACCCACAGCTGCATCTGCCCTGGGAGCTGGGGGGGTCTCTGGGCCACCTGTTTGGGACAGCAGAGCAGGGACTGGGGGGCTTGGACCCCACCAGGGAGGAAGTGTGGCTGGGCACCTGGAGCTTCCCTGGGCTGGGATTGGAAGGCAAGGCATCCCATTAGGAGGATGTCAGACATCAGGAGGAATTCTTGGACATCAGAAGGAGTTTTTTCACAGATGGGGTGGTCAGGCACTGGAAGAAGCCTCCCGGGGAGGTTTGGAGTGCTCATCCCTGGAAGTGTCCAAGGAAGGCCTGGAGGTGACACTCAGTGCTCTGGGGACAGGGTGGGCATTGGGCACAGCTGGGACTTGCTGATCCCAGGGATCCCTTCCAACCTTAAGGATCCTGTGATTCAGTGATTCTGGCACCACCCAGCCCCTTCCCCACACGCCCCCCGACAGCCCCCTCACCTCCAGGGCCGCAGTACCAGTTGTGGTGGAAGTAAACGCACACGGCGAACGCGAACGTGATGAAGGTGAAGAAGAAGAGCAGCTGCTTCCACTTGTACGACTTGCGCTCCTGGAAGAGGCCAAGGGCTGGCTGATGCCAGAGCAGCCCTGCATGCCGTGCCATGCCGTGCCATGCCATGCCATGCCATGCCATGCCATGCCCATCCCCTCCCAGGGAAGCTCTGCCCTGGCCCCACACAGCCCCGGGGGTCTCTGCACCTGGCCTCTCATGCAGAGCCCCCCAGGCCAGCCCCAGGGGTGGCTTGGGCAGGGCTGTGCCCAGGGACTCACACCTACATGGAGACACAGGGTGTGAGGGAGCCACGGGGTCCCAGCACATATGGTGCCCCCAGTGCTGGGGTGCTCAGGGGACCCCTCAAGGATGGGCCAAGGCTCTGCTAGAGGCAGATCCCCAGGCCTGGATGGCTGCAGGTGGCCCCAGGGCACAGGGAATTCAGCGGGTGCTGCACCCCCTCACTCACAACAGCAGCAGGGAGGAGGAAACCACATGAAGGGCGGCAGCTGGGGCGGGTGCTGCGCTGGAGAGCTCGCCCAGCACACCCTGGCAC